CGGTGGCCAAAAGCGAAAGTTTTTCAAACATCAGTAAGTGACAACAACACGATAAAACTAATGCAAAAAGTGAAAATTTTAAACTTTTAGTTAAAAATATTCATTAACTTTAAATATATTACATATAGAATGTCGTGTCAACTTTTCTTCAAAAGTCATATGCTATAACAGTTGAGTATCATATGCTTTGGTGTAGTAATATTCACTTTAAAAGCTCAAAATAGAAATATTATGTAAATAATTACACGAGTTCAAGAAATGGGTACTAATTAGTTGGTTTAGTACTAACATAGAAATAAAAGGAAAAATTCTTAAATATTAAAGCTACAACTGCATGTGATCCCTTACAAGACAGGGACGAATTCATGATTGGATTCAAGATCGAGATACAAAATTTCAAATCGAGCTACTACGCAGAAAAAAAAGCTTACACATAAAAAACTGATTTTTTACCAAAAGAAATAAAAAAATATCTTTAAAAAAAAGCTCTTGGGCCTGAGGGAGCCCCCCCTCAATCCGTCTCTGTTACAAGATGACCTTAATATCATTTAGAATTCAACCAATATTCAACATAACAAACTAATCAACTTATCATAACAATTATATTTATATAGAAGAGTCAATTTAAAAAATATCAAAATTTGAGCTTGTAATTTCCAAGTAAAAAATGAAATTAATTTGACATCATAAATTGTAAACTGAGTTCAGGGGCGGATCTAGGGCTGGCCTCTCCAACCCACTTGATGTTTTTTAGGGCAAATTTTTTTTTTTTTTTTGTGTAAATTTATATTTTTTTACATGTTAGCCCAGCTTATAGTTCGATCCTGACTTCGCCCCTGACCGAGTTGTACCTGCAAACGGAAGATGTTGGAATTAAAATAATAAAAGAATAGATAATGGCAGTGCAATTTGAAGCTCATATTCGAATCAAAATCCAAAGAGTCGTCCATGTAAAGATATGTACTTTGAGCAGTATTATAAGCAGAGCATATTAAGCCCTTGTTTGAGCCACGTTCTTTAAAAAGAATTCGTTCTTAAACAGTGATTTGATATCATTTCAACCACATATTCTTCAATAAAAAAATATTACACGCAAATCTAAAATTTTTCCTTATTTTTTAACCACACATTTCATATATAACACTATTCAAAAATGCATTTTCTTGACAAAAATGGGGCTCAAACAAGGGCTAAATTCAAAAGCCAAATGTAGGCACGAAATTCAAAATCTCTATCGCATCCTCGGACACGATAAACGTGAAAATTGTGTGAAATATATTAATATGGACAGATAGGAATTAAAGGGAACTGGGAGCTGAATGACTTTGGTTTTGATTTAGAATAAAAAAAGACAATGCGATTACAGAGGGGTGGGACTTATAAAAGTAGAGTAGAAACCTTTTGTTTTGGACCAATTGTGCCCTGGGATAAAGAGGCTCGTTCTTATTTTCCATTCTTGCACTAATTTCCATTATTCCTTAAGCATATCAAGTTTGAACCTTGGCACTTTTTGCTTGAAGTTAGCTATTGATAATTCAAAATAAACAAGTACATGAGCAAAAATGACTACGTTTTTCGCATTATTGCTCAGAGAGATGCTTGCCACAAGAAGGTGAAATTGAATGCAAAAGGGATGCTTCAGATCGAGAGTAACAAGTGGCAAGGCAAAAAATAAAGGGACTAAATTCTACCATTTTCAAACTTGAAGTTTTGCATCTATGGCATAAACCTATTGATATTTTCAAAATAAACAGGTACACTAACAACAAAATACATACTAACAGGTAATTTATTTAATTAAGATCACGGCACAGATTAAGTCATACAAGTAGTGTGTGTCCAAAAATGCAAAAACAAAAGAGAAAGAAACATTACTCATTGGTTGCTTCCTTCCTTCGCCGAAACCTCTTCCAGATTCAAACAAAAGAAAATTCGTAGCTGGAGCGTTCAAAATGCTGCTTACAGTGGTAGATTGGTGGGTGTCGAAACGAGAAGGGAAAATTAAGAAAGAAACATAGTGGTGGGAAACGAAGTGAAAATGAGATGAGGCAAGAATATGTGTATGTTTAGGGATTTTGATAATTGATTTTTTTATCGTTAAAGATAAAGTAGGTGCTATTTGTGAGAGAAAAATTCAAAAATAACGGCTGAAATCGTAAAATAACTGTCAAAAAATTAATTTTATTTGAATTTTAAACTGTACCAAACAAACTCTATATTAGTGCTCTTCCAAGTGAGAAATAAAAATAGGGGCGGATCGGGGGGCATATAGGGTCAATTGACCCCTTAGTTTTTACGACAAAATACATACTAACAGGTAATTTATTTAATTAAGATCACGGCACAGATTAAGTCATACAAGTAGTGTGTGTCCAAAAATGCAAAAACAAAAGAGAAAGAAACATTACTCATTGGTTGCTTCCTTCCTTCGCCGAAACCTCTTCCAGATTCAAACAAAAGAAAAGCAGTAGCTAAATCCTAAAGGCCCAGCTTTGCCTGCCCTCGTCTCTCCCAACTCCCACCATTCGAAACCCCTGTATTCACTATCATCGTCGGCCATCGGCTACCGGCCCACTAACATAGTGACACCGTTTGCTTTCTCTCTCCCATCGGCCACCATTTCAAGTCTTCATCTCCATTTTGCACAATCGACAATCCCACTTTGGTCTTCTTTGATGTCACACCGCCACCAGTGGGCTGGGCAAAATGTTTTCATAAGTTATGTTTGGGTATCTGAATCGAGAATTAATGGATTTGGTTCGATTCTTAGTTCTAGATAGTGGTGGCAATGGACTGAGCCGAGCCAGCTCGGCCCTTAACCTCACGAGCTCGGCTCGCGCTCGTGGCGAGCCCTAGTTGAATTTGGGCAAGCTAGGCTCGGCCCACGAGTTTGTGGCTCGTCCAAGCTCGTGGGCCAAGCCGAGCTTTGGCTCGTGGGTTCGTCTTTTTTTTTAAGAGAAAAACACAAATAAATGAAATAATGTAATGAAAACACTCTTAAAAAAAATAAAAAGTGTTAAAAAATACAAATAATTTAATGAAAACACTTTTTTTATTTTTTTATTTATATCATATTGTAATATTTTTTTATAAAGTATAAAATATTTATATAATGAAGATAAATTATTTTTTGAAATACATTTACAAAAAAAAAATATTTTTTGGTATATTTTGCAGCATAAGAGAGTAAAAACTCTATAATTGATATAATAAAAGAGAATTGGAGTAGTGATTGAATAATTGATATAAAAAAAAAAGGAGGTTAAGGGGTATTTAAAGTAGAAAGTGGAGAAAAATAAAAATAAAATAAAATAAAAAAATTTCAGTGACCAAACGGTCACTTTCTTTGCAAGCCACAAGCTAAGCGCTCAGCTCGTGGCTGGTCGTTTGAGTTAAAAATAACGAGCCACGAGCCTTCGAGCAGCTGCTCGGCTCGCTTCCCGACAAGGCCTGCTCGGCTTGTGATTTTACAAGTTCGAGCCGCCCACGAGTCCTATTTTGAAGAGCTGAGCCGTCGAGCCAACGAGCGGTTCGGCCCTTTTGACATCCCTAGTTCTAGACTAAGAAGCGAAGAACCGAATTTCTTTAAATTTTTTAATTTTTAATATTGGATAAATCAAATTATTTTAATTTTTCTAAACAAATTAGCAAATTAACTAATTAAGTGATTAGTGTTCCAATTTTTAGTTTATTTATGTTTGTTAATTGTGTTTTATCAATTTTTTATTTTTTATTTTTTGTAGAGTTTCTTAGTGGTGAGTGTGGCAAGTCAAGCAATTGATAGCTAATTTAAATAGTTGGTAAGTATTAGCAATACTTTAAAATATTTTATCTCTACGATTTCCAATTTATATTTCATTTTCCACGTAGAGTTAAAGGTTTGAAGTAAAGGAATCATTGAAGTTTTAGTATTAGTATCTATTTTTTGGTATTTGTATGCATTGGTAAATTAATCTTCTTGGACAACTAGTTATTTATATGTTATTAAATTGAACTATGTTAATTTGTAAAAACTACGATTGAATGTGTCATTAGTTGTATTCATATAGCGTCGTTATAAATGTTAAAAAATTTAATTATAGTACGGAATCAGACTGGATCGAACTGAACTGAACCTGAATAGTTTCATAATTATATTTGGATCCGACGATTCCATTTACTAGATACCCGAAAAATTCTGATTCGATTCGGACTGTGCCTAGGCTTAGCCACCACCACACAACCAACAATCCCTCATCTCTACCACACCATAGATTCAGCCCCCGCCTCCCTCGCCACACTAGCAATAATATACCTTACCACGATACAATGCGTTGCAGCGGCCGCGAACAGCAAAGATGTGGAAGGATGAAGTTGTTGCAACGGCGACGCACCGTTCAATTTACGATGCATGAAATAGGCACGTAGGTCACTACTGACGACGGTGATCGGCCTCGCGCAGCGTTGCTCCAACATTTGGTGGTGACTGCGATGTAAAGAGTAGGAGAGTAGAGAGAGAATTGGTTGAAAAATTTGGAAGTAAATAGATATTAGGTTTTAGGGTATGGGTATATTATTAAATGAATTTTATAATATTATTATTTAATATTAGAAATTGTATTATCATCTAATTTTTGTATATATAAACTATACATATGATATATGAAATACAATAATAATTCTATTTGTACAATATTTTGTACAATTTAATTGACAAGGGGCAGCCTCGGAATATAATTCAGTGGTGCAAAGGGCATGAGTGAAATAGTCTCAACTTTGCTGACAGTCACCGTGTGAAGGTTCGATTTCTGAGATATGAAATTGAACTCTTTATAAGCACCAATGTATAAATAAATTCTTACTCCCTGACTTATTGAATTACATTTTACGATTTACTTCCCTCACAATGTTTCGGGAACGGGGCGATCAGCCCTCGAAATTGGGTTTCAACCTTTTTTTTTTTAAATTGACAAGGGGCCCAGCTGCAACCGATTGTACAAAACATTGTACATCTAGCCCAACTCCTTTTCATCTCTGTCGCTCACGAGCATGGCTCACACAATCAGTCTCCAAGCAAGAAGGCAAAAGTGAAATATTCAGTTCACGCCGACCGCCATCGTGTTCCATTTCATCTACTCCCTTTACTTCAACGTCTACGCCACCGCCAGCGCAATAGGGTAAGTAATTTACTTTTTGGTCTTCAGGATTCGAGTTTCAAATTAGAATATGGGCTGTAAATCCTGAAATCCAAGCCTAACATTTCATTCCCTCTCTCGCTCGATGGATGACAGCTCTCTGCGACTCTCACTCTCAAAATCTCTGTCGACTACCTGGTCACCATCAGCAGACGAAGGTATAAGTGCTGATTTTATTTTCTACCAATTAGTAAAAATAGTATTTGGTTGCACATTTAGGATTAATCTGTTAGGAAGAAAGCACTTGAGAGAAATATACTGTAAATTAGGAATGGATTGTAACGTATTTGATTATAATTTATTATGCGTTTATTTGAGGGGATTCGTTAGGTTTTAAAGTATATCTAGTCAAAGATATGCGAGAAATTCTAACCCAAACGGCAAACAACATGAATTTGTGGCGTCGCAAATGCATTTCTGACATTTTTGGGGTGGTAATTATGTTCTTAAACAGAAACTTCTTTTGTTGAGTTTCTGTGGTAGTTATGATCAGGGGTTCTTGATTTTAGGACGCTCTTGGTGGTTTTGGTGGAAATTTGGTGGTACCATAGGTGGTTTTCTTTGATTTAAGTTTTTATTAATTGGGTTATGTGAATTTTAGGACATATAATCGAGCAAACTGAAGTGGTTTTGATCTTTCTTACTAATTCCATGATTTTTTAGAAGCAAAGAATTTTGAATATTCTTATCTTCTGTTTTGTATATGTAAAATCATCTCGATATTCTGTCTTCCTATGTTATTCATTACTATCTATATGTTTATTTTTTCTCTTGATTGTGATTTTTTATTATTAATTGAGTAATTCAATCAGATAATTGATCGACTGTCGTTCTATAATAGATTGCTGATTAATTAACAAGCCATAAATTTTATACTTTTTGTGTTTCCTTGCTTGAACTCCTGTCATTCATGTACTTATATAGATGATTTAACATCCTTTTTAACTTATGATTTTCTTTATATTAAACTTGCCTTGCCTCGTCCATATGTTCTCCTTGAGGTATTTGAGGTTTAGATTTCTCTGCAATTCCACATTTAACTGTAGCTCGTAGTTATTAGATAACAGTTTACTTTGTCATTCTATATGTAATTGCCATATTTAGAAATATCAGTTGCTGTCTTGCTGTGGAACTTAGATTTCTTATCATGTTTGATTTGGCCGTTAATTGTTTTTCATCTTTCCTCAATTATTTGTTTGAATTGGTCATTACATATCTTCTGGTACTATCATGCCATGATGTCTGGAATTTAATTTGGGTTTATGGCGTTGAGTTATTCCTAAGTGCAGGTTATAGAATTTTATTTGAATTGACCATTACATATCGAAATAGGATTTTATTTGAATTTCATTTGAGTTATTCCTAAGTACAGTTATTAGAAATATTCCACTCTATTATTGCAGTATAGTCTATAGCCTAGCAGCTGGGCTATACTGCATAGTGGAATATCATGTTTTTTCGATATACACTAACTGTGTGAACTTCAGACAAAGGAGTTGGCAAAGGAGCATCTTTGTATCGGTAGCCTCACTATGGTTCATTAAGTGGAAGATTCTGTTCATATTATATGATTCCTCTATGTCATGTCTACCTTGTGCATTTGGATTTAAACAGAACCAAAGCAGTTTTTTTTCCCCCTAATTATGTTTTAGGTCTAGAACCCCATGCTTAGATTATACCCAGGAAATGCACTAATTCTAGTCTATAATTGTAACTTGATTTAGAGGTAACAGTGTATACTGCTTGGCTTCCATTTCGTTTTAAAAGGTAAAATCCAAGAAGCTGCAATCTACTTCCATCAGTTAGTCAATGCCCTCAATTGAACTTGTTGCTTGTCGGTAAATTAATGAATTGTTGTTGCCTAGTTGGCTTAATAAACTATTTTTGGATTATCGTTGTAGTAATGGATAATTGATGAATTTCTTTTTGTTTGCATTTTGTAAGAATTTGTTGAGAAGATGGATATAAATTATCTTGCATATGAATTTTATTTGAAACCTCCTCGAAATAACTTCAAATGATATGAATTTGACTTTAATGTCATATATACATTTATTATATAGACATCTATAAATTTCAGTCCCTGTGACCTAAATTCCTGGATCCGCCTGGATGATGGCAACAACTCAATCATTCAACGGCAATCTGAAGGTAAGTTCTCTATTTTCTTCATTTTTGCGTATTTGTCTTCTCATTGCCTACTTTTAGCTAATTTTTACTTATTTTTAGCTTGACTTTTAGTAGTCTTTATCATTATTCTAATTAGTGTAATATGATATTGATGCAGTGTGGTGTTTGATTGAATTGTTTTTTGTCATTTTTTTTTTTCCCAAATTGTGCTCTTTGTGCGTTCAATTTGTTGTTACCATTTGAGGGACCAATTTACACTTCTATAGTGGAGTCAAAAGCACAAGTAGCTGCCTTTTTTTCTCTTTAAGTGGATTATTAATAACTTCAATAATGGTCAAATCAGGGATAATCAAAATGAGGGACAATTTAACAATGAGAAAATTAAAAATAGATCTTGTGATTGATTTGTGGATGTGTTGTTTCCGGCTGGCATAGATGTTGACTACTATATATGTAGTGAAAAACTTCATGTAGTGTATGTCAGTAATCATACTAAGGCGATGTTTGAGTCACATTCTTTTTTAAAAAAAAAAAAAAAAAACCCTTCTTAAACAGTGATTTAACATCACTCAACCATACATTTTTCAATAAAATACTATTACACGAAAATCCAAAATTTTTCTCATTTTTTAACCACACATTCTCCATCAATCTACTATTCCAAAATACATTCTTTCAAAATAATGTGGCTCAAACACACACTAATGTACATTTGCTATGCGGTAAGCATATGACTGGGGAGTGCAATATTCGATGTGAATTTAACTTCTTCCCTCTAGCTCTCTCTCTCTCTCTATTTTTCAATGTTATGCCCTAGAGCTGTCCAGTCATACCATTCTACTGACTATGCTGTGACATTTACACCTTCGAAATCCATAGCAGGCTGATTGCACCGCAAATATGCATCCATTTATAAGCTTAGGTTACCTGGAGCTGGGGATATTTGATAAGAGAAAATTTTGTTTCATTTTTTCTTTGGAAGGAACAATTGTATTTTGGAATACGGATTTGATTGGTGTTTTGTTTTGTTAGCTCCTTTTTTTTTTGGGTCAAAATGTTAATTAGGCATCCAGCAATTCTGTAGTTTCTTGTAGATAATAATACTTTTGCTTCTTTATATATATTAGAACGAACATATCTCCTACACATAAAGAAACTTTTTGCAGCAATTTTTACATCTTCTGGGAGGCCTTAATATTAAAACCTCTGTTGCACGGATACGAGCACATGGGTGCTTCCCTGAGAGGTGTCCTTAAAATGAGTAATTTGAAAAAGTAAATGAAAATGGAGCAAGAGGCATGTGGCTTGTTGGATAATATCCTTATGTGACCGATGAGTGCTGGAGTCTGCTTTGACACGGCACATTTTGAACACAGATATGCCTCGCTAGTAGGAGTGTCAGTAAATCAAAAGTTAACAGTAGCTGAAAATATTGGAACTGCTTGGAAAATTAATGAATGCAAATTCATTAGACTAAAGTCCTTGAGAAGTGGCTTTATTTGGCATTAAGTTTAAGCCCTTGTATTGTTTATACAACTAAAATTATTTTTCTGTGATGTTGTTGCATGCGGATTTTGTCTTTATTTTTTAGCAATGTTAGTGAAACCAAATAAGCTCGGTCTTTAATGCTATTTTACAGTTTTAGCAATGTCATTAAACTGTGAAATTATTTGGTTTTAGCAATGTGGATTCCTTATAAATCGTTTTTAAGCAATGTTATTTGAAATTTCACTAGAATTCTTCATCTTCACACCAGTAGCGACTTCTAAATCCTTTCATGAGAAATCTTTAGAGGCAGTGGAATCTGAGGTGATATATTTTTCATTCTTTCTCGGGATTTTTGAAAAAGAATATAGTTTGGTTCCTGCCTCTTGAGCTTAACCGGTTATACAGTACAGGGGAAGGAAAATGGACGGGCAAAGAAAGTGAATAGGGGTAACGAAAAGGAAATTTTGGGATGGGGATGGCATAAACACGAGACAGAAAATGGATTGTGTGGCTGAGATTTATTTTCAAGTAAACATGATGGCATTGGTAGTGACATATAATAATGTGGCACTGGGATAAGAGAAAAATGAAGGTTCCTGATGTGCTAACACTGAAAAATCAAAGATTGAGAATTTTATATTTTTATTTGTTTTTAAAATTAATAAAGTAATAATTTATGTATACATTGTTGTTTTAAATATACATTGTTGTATACATGATGAAGTTACCTTATTTTATAAATTAGATTATATAAATATGTATTTAATTAATTATTTTTTACCTCTGGTTCGACCATGATTGAACCCTTTTGACCCTTATTTTACCTTTTTCGGTTTAATGATTGGGTTGTATTTTGGTGTCATTCTGAAGTTCATGCTATACACTTAAATGATTACTGAGCAGAATATATTCATCAATCTTGCAGAAAGCAGTTGCTGGACTGAGACGAATTAATTTGGAAGGCTTGAAATGGAGAGTGTTTGATGCAAAAGGACAGGTCTAAAAATACAACTCTACCTGGAAGTCTTGCTGAACATGGACCACCATACTATATTTACTATCGTGAACATTCTATGAGTGACGGTGATTTACTCTTACATTAGGTCCTCGGGAGGCTAGCATCACAACTATCAACTGTGGTTCAGGGCAAGGATAAGCCTACATATACACCCAATCACGATGAAGGGGATATGTGTATTGTAATCAATGCAAAAGATGTATGTGTCACTGGGAGGAAACTAACCGATAAGTTCTACCATTGGCATACTGGGTACTTGCCATTTTTTATTTTTCTTCTGTTGATTTAGTTTCATGATCCCGGGTGTTATTACGCTGTTTTGAGTACTGATTTTGTGCTATATGAAATATTAAAGATTTACGTAGATGGCTATGATTTTACTGTGCAAATTCTAGATTTCTGACACAATAATTTTAATTATTGGAAATGTTATCAGACAATTAACCCGTGACTTTGTAGGTATATTGGCCACCTTAAAGAGAGGAGTTTGAAAGACCAGATGGCCAAGGATCCTACTGAAGTAATTCGCAAAGCTGTGCTACGCATGCTTCCCAGAAACAAATTGCGTGATGTGAGTTGGTACTTTTAATCACATTTTTCTTCTCCTATCAATTTCTTTACTTTAGGCTGGCAATAGTTTTTATCCTCCTGTAACTGTTTAATTACTGGTCACTCTATGGTGGTTGTTTTCGTGGGGGAATCAAATGTTTGCCTTAAAGGTCATTGAAAATACATGCCCCTAAGTTTTAACTGCCCCTGGACTCATCTCAAGTCTAAACATGACTTTTTAAAAGGTAGCTTTTTATGTTTTTATTTTATTAAATGGGGATTTATTTATTTATTTTTTTTTTTTTGGGGGGGGGGGGGGGGGGGGGGGGGTGTGGTTTAGATATGTTCGCTAATATTGCATGTCCAAGATCGATTGTGATCCTTATTTAACATGGAGTGGAAGATTCAAGTTGTTGACTTTCAAAAATTGCACCTTTAACCATAAACTGATATTTGAAATGTTATTTTAGATACATTACAAGATGGCTTTCTGTGAGTTACTGATAATACAACACAGTTTAACGATCCTTAATTGTCATTGCTTTAGTCTCAAAACCGAAGTAGTTCTGTAGTTTTGTTGAATAATTTCCCTTAGCACTATTGATATTTATTTAATTTATTTATTTTTTGGGTGTAGGATAGTGATAGAAAATTGAGGATATTTGCTGGCAATGAGCACCCTTTTGGTGACAGGCCTCTCGAACCATATGAGATGCCTCCTCGACAAGTGCGTGAAATCCGGCCCCGTGCAAAACGAGCTATGATTCGAGCTCAGAAGAAAGCCGAACAACAAGAACAAGGTGTTAGCACATACATGAGGAAGGGCAAAAAGAAGGTAGAGGAAGATGCAGAAGTTGGTGAATGAATGAATGAGCTTTTTCAAGTGATTTTTGATTAAAATTTTGACCTTTAATAATTTTGCCATGGAATTCTTGTTGGCTAGTGTACGGAACTGTTATTTTCTTTTGCATGTATTGTTTTTAAATATTGTAATGTGGTAGTAGATTGAAAATGGTGTGAAGCGAATAATTTCCATCCCCGGGGGAATTTTTTTAATTAGTTAAGATTTAATTACTTTATATTTTCATCAATATTCTCTTGATAAAATAATTTTATACGTAAGGTCAAAAATTTTCACTACTTTTTAATTACATATTCTCCAAAAAATCACACTATTATAAAATTAATTTTTATTAAAAGAAGAGGGGCTCAATCAAGCACTTCAGTTCATGTTTGGTGGTCATTTTTTTGAATAGTGAATTTTTGAAGAATGTATGGTCGAAAAGTAAAGAAAAGTTTTGAATATACGCGTAAAGTGTTTTATTGTGTAAATATTTGGTTGAAATGAGTATGTAGAAAAAAAAAAAGAAAAAAGAAAAAAAAATGGGTATTTAGAAAGAATGAGAGACAAATAGGGCTAAGTTTGGCTTGTTTTTAGAAAAAAACCAAACATGTAATTATGAGTTGTGGTGGACTATTACTAAGAGAGAATTGATAAATATGCACTTAAAGAGGACTAGATGACTTTAAGTGGCTGAAGAAAGGGGAATTTGTTGAATGGCTCGACTCGCTTTACACCTTAAATTTGGATATCTACTGCCTCGATGAACTTGCATTGGAAATAAAAATGCTATTTCCTTGCCCCCATGATGAATTATGGGGGGGACAAATGTGGCGTCTACCATTCTACCTTCAAGAAGTGCGATATAGAAAATGAATAGATAATTGCATTTTATTATGTTTATTAGTTTAGAAGTGATTTTAAGTTGTGATTGGTATGAAATGCGTGGATAAAAATATCTTTGAAATTATAATTTAAGTTTTTGAAAAGGCAATGCACAACTTTAAATCATTCTTTACCACGATTTAGTCCTAGTGCTTGATAACTCTTCTTTAATGGGTCGACCATGTGAATCCACTCTAAATACAACAATACAGTTGGTTGTTGGAAGTTTGTTGAATCAGAAAGTTTCTTATAGATTAAGCTACTTCAAAGCATACTATTTTTAGTTGCTTGAAAAAAATAATAATAATAACTCATATATCTAGTTAGATTGAGCAGAGAGGTTGCTCAAGCAATTTTGAGGCATTGGGTGAATTCTTTTTGGACATTTTCAATAATGATAAATAATATTTATATGTTGGATAATACTATGTGGTTTCATTAAAATGAAAAAAAAAAAAAACAAAAAAAAATATAAACTCTTAACACTAATATAAATTTATTATCATCCAATGTTTGATAAACAAAATATATCATTAAAAATAAACTAAAACAATATGCTATTACAATAAACAAAGAAAAACAACCGAATTAAAAACAATATTAGTTTTTCCTTTAAACACAAGGAAGCTTGGTGCTAGTCCGGTGGAAAGGACGAAAACTCTACGCTTGTGGTTCAAGAATACTTGTATTGAATTGATGGTATTTGAACGAAAATTTACCTACCGAGTTTTATCAACTTGCAAATTCTACCTTTCCTCTTCCGGTCCGACCTGATCGGCCTAGCTAGTCTGACCTCACAAAGTGGGGTGAACTGTCGCCTGGAGTCGTATGAGAGTTGATTTAACTGTCCTAAGTATGGCGGAATATTTCCGAGATGTTAATGTGTTCTTTCTCTCCTCATATATATATATATATATATATATATATATTTGTTAAATCTACAAGTATAGAGAAGAATTTATTTAATCGATATAAAATTTAATGGGTAAGATT